TTTATAGATTAATTTAAATGACTTGTCAATTAAGATGCTTAGAATATTTATTTGAAATAATTTTTGTGCTAAGTAAATTATTTTGAAACAGGACAAATTAGTAATGAACATCAAAGTTATAAGCTAGTAAAATATAATACAGCAATAGTATTTTTACAGTAAAAAATATAAAATGAAAAAAGAAATCCTCTTTATATTAGTGGGTGAAAAGTCATAAATTGTTAAAATATTGAATTAAGAGGTTAAGAAAAATAGCCAGCACCACAGCTAGAAAAATTTAATGATTTTCCAATTTTGAACATAGTTTGGGTTTTTTGAAATGGTTGTAAGTGATGGTAAGCAACAATAAAAATCCTCCCAGAAAGGCAATTTGAAGAACTATTGGAGCAATTGTCTCATGTAAAACTGTAGCATTCAGGATGTAAACTCTCCATTTACCAATCAATAACAAAAGCCAAACAATAGGCATATTAAAATACCACTACAGGAAAGGAAAAACTATCTTAAAAGTAAAACAAATTCAGTAACACAGATTTAAAGTTGGTCAACATTTTGTCCTTAACATGGCCAAATAGCATTTTACTGGAGTGCCTTTCAGTCATTCTTCAGTCTTCTTTAAAGACATTCTTAATTTAGTCTCCAAGACCAGATTCCCACTTGTGCATTCTTACAATTCCTTTTTAGTCACTTTAGCTGTATCCTCCTCTTCTCAACTTCTAGTCCCAAGCCCTGGGTTCAATCTATTTAACCATGGAAGTATTTTTAATGTGAGGCTACAGGACCCATTCTAGAGCATTTGGAAAATTTGGAGATGGGAAGCAGTTTTAACTGTCATAATTACTAGGGGACATGCAGCACTGCAAGAAGCTAGACTGTGCAATATGCGAAGTAGTTATCCAAAATAAGTAATAACATATCCAATATCCTGAAAACTTACTGAACATCCCTAATAGACATTTATGTGGGGAATACTCATGTTTCTTACTACCTGAACTTGTGTATTTATAAACACAAAATATTTGTAGCACCAACTTAGTATTCATTAAATTTTTCTAGAACATAACGATCTTGCAAACCTTAGATCTTTATTATGAATTTCTCTCCATTTTGGAAAATTAATGATAGCAATACCATTTATGCATTTAGGATATTTGTTGCTAACATGATATCCCAGTATAAATCTTTCTTGGTAGCTTTCACATTATTCTTTTTTTTTTTTTTTTTTTTTGTTTTTTTTTGGTACTGGGGATTGAACTCGGGTCCTTGCACTTGTGAGGCAAGCAGCGAAACCACTGAGCTAAATCCCTGGGCCACTTTCACATTATTCTATGTATATAAGCAAGCTTCAACAAGTATTTTAGTTGTATGTGAGTATTTACATATTGAAATATATGTCATCTTCTTATAAATTACCTTCCTTTTATTTGCTTATATAATAGAGCATTGCATCTCTTAGGTATATGTAAATATACCTAATACGTTATTGATGCATTTCATCACATATAAAAGGAGCAATCTGACACTAGATGAGAAAAAGTTTAAAAATATTGATCAACACAAATTCATGGACTTGAAAACCTTCTTTACATGGAGTATTCAAAAATTTGAATTGAAAATTTAACCTTAAAAATATATCCAGAATCTGGGGACTTTTTATCACTCCTACTATCAGCACTTTGGCTGCAATCTCTCCACTGGGTTGCTGCTGTGGTCTCCTAACCTCATATCCTGTTCTATTTTTATTCTCTACTGACTAGTTTTCCCAAAGCCATCAGGTTCTGATCAGAATTACCTTTTAAAATGTTAATTAGATTGTCACTTATTAAAAGTATAAAATCCAAATCTTCACCGTGGTTCCCAAAGCCCAAGGTGATCTTATCCCAGACCACATTTCTGACTTCATTTTCTAAGTACTCTCCCATCTCCCTACACTGCATCTGTACTAATCTGTGTGTTGTTCCTCAAACACAAAAAACACATCTCTCCCATGAGACTATGCACTTGCTGTTCACATGGTGCAGAATCATTTTATAATCTCCCATGTATCTCTCATGACTTTCACCATCACTTACAACCATTTTAAAAAACCCAAACTATGTTCAAAATTGGAAAATCTTTATTTAATTTTATGTATGTGGTTTCTTTTCTTTTCTTTTTTTTGCGGGGGGGTTACCAGAGATTGAATTCGAGACCTTGAGCTTGTGAGGCAGGCGGCAGAACCACTGAGCTAAATCCTTGGCCCTGTGTGTGCTTTCTTAAGATTTGAATCATTTCTGGATTTTGAACAGAATACTGAGTAGAATATTGGGATAATCTGATTTCTCTCAGTTTATAATAAGAACTTATTTACATAATTGATTCCATATGTGTACTATCAAACAATTACAAAATAAGAACACTTAAAATTTTTTGTAGGGTGGTTCACTTCTTTTTAAAACTAAATTTTATGACATACTGGGATTGATTATATTATTATTGAATATTTAAAATTAATATTTTTTATCTTAAAATTAGATGTGCATTTAATTTTTGATCAAATACTATTACCTTAAAACATTTTTATCACATTTCAATTTGAATTTCCAAATGGGTGGGAACAAGTCAATAATTATAAATATATCTAAATGATTATTTTAGAAAATAATTTATTGGAATAATAGGATTTTTCAGTGCAGTCTTTCAAATGTCATGTAATGATGCTTGGTTATTGAATAATTTTTATCTTTTAAATTGTAGGTGTCTGTAGAAGAATTAGAAGATAGTATTAGTATTAAAATAGCTAAAGAGGCTGTGATGAATATAAATAAACCTGCAAGCCTTTTTAAACCAACAAATGGATTTGTGGAAACAAAAATATACTTTGCAGGATTACCTCGGAAAGTGGAAAATGCACTCATTAGACCGGTAACGATCCAAGTTTATATCGTTCATCATGGGTGAATTCCTTTTGTCTGTAATAGGTTTGAAGATGTGTTTTCCTGAGAGTTAATAGAAGTTATTTTGTTAAGTACATCAAGTGTGACAACTTGAATTGAACATGGAAAAATAACATTAGTGACCCTTGAAATTATATTACGGAAATAAGAAAATTGTTGCTGTACCATTTTTGTGCCCACTTAAATTCCCAGCACTATTCATGAAGAGGTGGACTTTTTAAATTCTCAAGTGTCAGTTCACTGGTAGCATCCTAATGGCTCATACTCAGCCATTAAATATGAATACATACATTTGAATCTATTTTTTTTTTTGGTAGAAACCAGTCAAGGGTCTTTCTCAGATCTATTTTAAGACTGGATTTTGGAAGTTAAGGGTTGCATGGAAGGTGGATTTTTTTTTACGTGATGCTGTAATTAGCCTATCATAAATTGAAATTAGATGTAATAGATGATTTCCTGAATAAGATGTTTGTCAAATAAATGTGGAGAAGGTTTCATGAAGGAAATGATCATTGTTTAACAGTTTTAAATTTTTATTTACCAAATTTACTTGTTTTAAGTTAAATATTTACTACTTTATGTCCATCACATTTTATTCATGGTGATTCACAGTTACTTTAACTTTGAAGGATTTCTATGATGTGTGTCTTAGTTCCTTACTCATTGCTGGGACAAAATACCCATCATCCACAACAGAAAGGAAGAGCAGTTTATTTTAACTGACAGTTTGTGGAGCTTTCAGTTCATAGCCAACTGGCTCCAAGGCAGGTGGCATGGCAAAGGAGAAAGTGCTCATGGCAAAGCAGGCAGGAAGCAGTGAGCCTTCCTTCTTCTTTCCCTTTTTGTTCCATCCAGGCTACAATTTCTTGGTTGGTGCCACCTTCACCCATAGTGGGTCTTCCCTCTTTAGTAAATTCACCACACACACCCAGAACTATGCTAAACCAATCAGTGTACTGATTCAGTATCACACACCCATGATTCAGACATTCTCCAAAGCCCCACTTACGTTTGGAGGAACATCTAGATATGAGCCATAATAATGTGATATTAAATCTGAGTTTAATTAATTAGATCATGTCAAAATGAATATGCCTATTCTTTGAAACTGATAAATCAAGACATTTTAAAGGCAAAATAAGTTATTCAAATGAGTTAATCATTTATGAAATGGCTACTACATGTCTTGAATGAGGTTGGATGTTTTGATGAAAGCTAAAAAATGCAGGCATTTTTTGTTCCTGAAGAGGATCAGAATCTGATTATCAAAATGAACCTATGTTGTAAATATAAATAAAGAAGAGCAGAAAGCAGCTTAGAACTCAGGGCCTTTCTGGAAGCATGAACTTAGTTCTGGGTGACACAGAAGAGGTAAGTGAGACTTGAGATGTTAAAAATCATGAGGATCCCATTGGAGTACTGCAGTGGCATAAACTCATTTTTATTGAAAAAGACTATCCATCTGAAGGACACATCACAAGGAAAAATTTAGCTTAAGCTCACCTATTTGAAATATTTTAAAATGTCATCAAAAAACCTTCCATCAAAATGAAACCTATACCTAGAATCAATTAAGCTATTTATCAGTCTGACATATGTAAGTTTAAAATGCACTTCTTGACCTGTTAGATTAACCCTCGTCTGGATGGCTGCATACGAAGCTGGAATTTGATGAATCAAGGAGCTTTAGGTGCAAAGGAAGTTATTCAAGAAAAACAAAATAAACATTGCCTTGTCATTGTGGAGAAGGGTTCCTATTATCCTGGATCTGGAATTGCTCGGTTTAGTATAGATTATAGTAAGTGATTTTCTGTTTTCTCTTTACTCATTAATGATTAAATTATTCAATGACAAACAGCAATAATTTATTCAGCAAAATTTACTGAGTATCTACTATGTGCCAGGCATAATCTTATTTATATTGTTATATACATTTTTTAATGATTGGTATATTAACAAACTATAAAGGCAGTTAGGTATGCTTATGTTATTATTTAAAGTTTGGTGCTACATCTGATTCAATTAACCTATTGTAATGTTCACTGATTTCTTAGTTGTGAGCCTACCACCTACTGCCTTAAAGCAATTCATCTTCATTTCTATCTTTTCCATTAGATCCTTTCTTAAAATTTCTGCTTCATCTGTTCTTATGTGTTGTTGAGCTTATCTCTCTGAGCTTTCAACATATTCACTATAGTTATTTTAAATCTCTTATCTAAAAGTTCCAAAATCTGTGTCAAATCTGAATATGATCATGTTGATTGCTTTGTCTCTTGACTATGTGTTATTTTTTCTTCTGTCTTTGTTTATAATTTGTTTGACTAAGAGATTGGCATTTGACATAGAACAGTAGAGATTGAGATAAATACATATTTGTATCTGGAAGTGACCACACCTCTGTTGCTCATCCCTGAATAGGGACTGAGGGGAATTGAATCCATCTAGTGAGGAATTGAGGCTTTGTCTGATTTAGTTATCAAGAAATAGGTTCCCTGCCAGGGATTTAGCTCAGTGGTTTC